AAAAATAGAATCACTTCAATTAAAAAAAAATAAAAAATAAAAATTCCTTTAAAAGAGTTGTTTGTTTTCTATTGACTGTTTTGTATTACTTAAAGTAGTCCCAATAAAAAAAGATCATGTCTATGGGTCCCATTCTGAACGGCCCTGTCAAAGGGACCCACCAGGTATCAAAAAACGTGTGTGTGTGTTTCTCTGTGTCTGTCTCTGTGTGTGTGTCTGTGTGTTTGCGCGTGCGTGTCCCACTCAGTGTGTGTGTGTGTGTGTTTCTCGTGGGCGGCACGGTGGCTGAGTGGTTCTGGGTTCGAATCCCGGTCGGACCAAGGCCTTTCTGAGTGGAGTTTGCATGTTCTCCCCGTGTCTGCATAGGTTTCCTCCGGGTACTCCGGTTTCCCCTACCACTAAAAATATGTATAATAGGTATGGCATGCGCCTCCTGTACTGGCGACCCCACTCCCATCTCTGTGTGGAGTGAGAGGACAAAATGCCCAAAAAATAACAATTGTAAACTGCTTTGTGACTCTGGTCTGTGAAAGGCGGTATATAAATAAACATTACTTACTTACTCTCTGTGTTTATGTGTGTGTTTCTCTGTGTCTGTGTGTGTGTGTCTCTCTCTCTCTCTCTGTCTCTGTGTGTGTATGTTTCTGCATGCCTGAGCCCCGTCAGTGTCCGTCATCATTGAGCCGCGACACTCGGACAATAATTGGATGAAGTGCAGTCATTGTTTAAAGTTTCAGGGCGGTCTCTGCGTCCGCTCAGGTCCAGAACAAACCCAGCGTTGGTGGCGGCGGGTTTTGGGCTGTAAACACAGAGACGCCAGCGAGAATCAGGATCAAGTCCCAGATGGAGCTGAACACTTTAGGACCAGCTCGGCCTGGATAGAACCAGGACCAAGAGGGACTAAAGAAGGGTAGAGTAGAGTAGAGTCCTTAGGCAAGACACTTCCCCCACATTAGAATGAGTCTGGTGTGTGTGAATGGTTGGTGGTGGTGGGATGGGCTGATGGCACAGACTGGTTGCCTCGCTTCTGTCAGTGTGCCCCAGGGCAGCTGTGGCTACAGTAGTTTATCACCACCATGTTTGGGGTGAATGAATAATGATGTGAAGAGACTTTGAGAGTCCAAAAAAGCGCTGTGTAAAACTGATGCATTATCATTATTAGTGTAGAGTAGAGTAGAGTAGAGTAGGGTAGGGTAGGGTAGGGTAGGGTAGGGTAGGGTAGGGTAGAGTAGAGTAGGGTAGGGTAGGGTAGGGTAGGGTAGAGTAGGGTAGAGTAGAGTAGGGTAGGGTAGGGTAGAGTAGGGTAGAGTAGAGTAGAGTAGGGTAGGGTAGGGTAGGGTAGAGTAGAGTAGGGTAGGGTAGGGTAGAGTAGAGTAGAGTAGGGTAGGGTAGGGTAGGGTAGAGTAGGGTAGGGTAGAGTAGCGTAGAGTAGCGTAGGGTAGGGTAGGGTAGAGTAGAGTAGAGTAGGGTAGGGTAGGGTAGAGTAGAGTAGGGTAGGGTAGGGTAGGGTAGGGTAGGGTAGAGTAGGGCAGGGCAGGGTAGGGTAGGGTAGGGTAGAGTAGAGTAGAGTAGGTCTAGTGGAGACGGGGGTTATATTTTTCATTTCGGTTAAACCACATTAAATCTCTCTGTGACTAAAAGATAAAAACATACAGATAATGTTTATTATTCATGTTTTAAACATAGCGACACTTGGATCTCAGGACGCTGCAGTGAGAGAGAGTCTGAAAAGGAGAGAGCGGAGACACCAGGTGGGCCGTGGCACCATCGAACCGTGGCCTCGTTAAGCCTCCGCCGTAACGACACCACAAAGAGCCACGGCGTAATTGCAAATAAAAATACATGATGCAGAAAATAAAAAAAGAGGAATTAGACAGATGCGCGGGTTTTCGGGGTCGGCGGTTTCGTCCGCAGCTGCAGCGGCGGTTTCAGAGACGCTTTGATGGTGGAGAAGACAAGATGGCCGACAGAGCAAACGGAGCAGAAGGGAACGGGAAGGTTTACTGTGAGCGGAGATGTTGAGAGGGACCAGAGAGAGACCAGAGAGAGGCCAGAGAGAGACCAGAGAGAGACCAGAGGGAGACCAGAGAGAGACCAGTGAGAGACCAGAGAGAGACCAGAGAGAGACCAGAGAGAGACCAGAGGGAGACCAGAGAGAGACCAGAGAGAGACCAGAGGGAGTCCAGAGAGATACCAGAGAGACCAGAGAGAGACCAGAGAGAGACCAGAGGGAGACCAGAGAGAGACCAGAGAGAGACCAGAGGGAGTCCAGAGAGAGACCAGAGAGAGACCAGAGAGAGACCAGAGGGAGTCCAGAGAGATACCAGAGAGACCAGAGAGAGACCAGAGAGAGACCAGAGGGAGACCAGAGAGAGACCAGAGAGAGACCAGAGGGAGTCCAGAGAGATACCAGAGAGACCAGAGAGAGACCAGAGAGAGACCAGAGAGAGACCAGAGGGAGACCAGAGGGAGACCAGAGGGAGACCAGAGAGATACCAGAGAGACCAGAGAGAGACCAGAGAGAGTTCCTTTCTGGTAGAAGACGCTGAGGCTGAACCAGAATCAGAACCATGTGGACAGTAAAACATGTTACCGATGAACAGACTCAGTTATTCAGAGTTTGTTAAAGATGATGAACAAAACAGTTAAGTTTTTGTTCGAACCGAACCTCAAGCATCATACGCTACATTTAATTTGTATTTATATTTTTGGTGAAAGTAACTTCAGAGTACTGCAGTAGTGTATTTCTTTACAGTAATGTTGTATTAACACATTTCTTTGAAATAGCAGTAAAAAGTAACACATCATGTACTGCGTGTTTGAAGACAGATAGGTCCGGTCTGAAGGACTGGTCTAAAGGCCCGGTCTAAAGGGCTGGTCTAAAGGACTGGTCTAGAGGACTGGTCTAAAGGACCGGTCTAGAGGACTGGTCTAGAGGACTGGTCTAAAGGACTGGTCTAAAGGACTGGTCTAAAGGACCGGTCTAGAGGACTGGTCTAGAGGACTGGTCTAGAGGACTGGTCTAAAAGACTGGTCTAAAGGACAGGTCTAGAGGACTGGTCTAGAGGACTGGTCTAGAGGACTGGTCTAAAGGACTGGTCTAGAGGACTGGTCTAAAGGACTGGTCTAGAGGACTGGTCTAAAGGACTGGTCTAGAGGACTGGTCTAAAGGACTGGTCTAGAGGACTGGTCTAGAGGACTGGTCTAGAGGACTGGTCTAAAGGACTGGTCTAGAGGACTGGTCTAGAGGACTGGTCTGTGACTTTGTGCGTCGAACAATCAAATACAAATGAACGGGGAACAAGTCAAATGAGTCATGCTTTAATTAAAATATGTGTTTTTTTTAGAAATTCATATTTACACATTGAATAATATTAATATCCGCGTAAGAAAAAATAGTCACAATTCTGACCAAACATGGAACATTCACATAAACTGCATTTTTCAAGCTGCATCGGATTCTCCTTCATTTACCCTTTCGTTCCGTAGGCGTTCTACATTTACATTATGTACATATTGCTGTAAGAGGTGAACACAGACTGTTTACAGGCAGACGATGCTAACCCGCTAACGGGAAAGTATGGCTCCATCTCGCTCTGGACAATGCTATCCCGCTAACGGGAAGTATGGCTCCATCTCGCTCTGGACAATGCTAACCCGCTAACAGGAAAGTATGGCTCCATCTCGCTCTGGACAATGCTAACCCGCTAACGGGAAAGTATGGCTCCATCTCGCTCTGGCTCCTGAACATGTAAAAGTAAACTCCAGCTCAGTAACTGTTCCTGTCTCATCATGTTGGGCTTAAAAAGATGTGGTTTAGATCTTTCTGTGATCCTGTGTTTTTATTGTGATATTGTCAAATCCAGATATGAGGCGAGAAAGGAGTGACCAATCAGATGTCAACATTTGTGTAGGAAATCCTAGCTGGCCTTAGCAACCATCTTAGCAACACGTCTGCTCCATAGATGTATTTTCTGTGGTGCTTTTTGCTGCTTTAATCCGTCTCCACTTGGACTAGAGGCCACCTGTGGTACTACAGCTTAAATCCACACGGGCCGTAAAGAGATTTACGAATAGACCTGAGGGACCTGCAGCTTTGACAAAAGATGATTTTATGGGGATATTAGTGTCTCTTGTCAATACAAACTTACTTCCTTTTGAAATCCAACAGTTTTTGATAAATCCACATTTTAGTGCAACAAACTCTGCTTGCTCTTGTCCCGCTCTAGCTCCGCTCTGATTGGTCAGAATGCTCCCATGTCTCTCTCTGGTCCCTCTCTCTCGTGTCTCCGGTCTCTCTCTGGTCTCTCTCTCTGGTCTCTCCCTGGTCTCTCTCTCTCTCTGGTCTCTCTGATTGGTCAGACACTCACATGTTCTTCTGATCCTGTGGAAGTAGAACCACTGCACAGACCAGGAGAACCAGACCATGAGAACCAGAAAGGGCCAGAACTCCTCACTTCCACAAGTGTTTGGGACGTCCATGGTGAGAGCATGAACCAATGAGACCAGACCATCTGAATGGGCAAACATCTTTGAAACCTGGGGCTTGGTCTGTCCCTGTTAGCTAGCTTGTAAACTAGCTTATGCTCAAACCGACTTCTTTTGCATTAAGGCTAACACTATGGTGATGTCACACTCCGTCAGTCCACTCTGAATCCACAGTCTATGGGTGAGCTCCACTGAGAACATAAGAGACTGTAAACCATAGAAAATGACTGGAATAGCCTTTGAGAAATGATCATAGGACCGTTCTGAATGTAAACATGTGTAGGCATAGTTTAATTTAAAGTTCTTGCATATTTTCAGAATGTGTGGGAGTAAAAGTCTTTGGTCGTATTGTGAAAATCGGTGGTTGCCTGTAAAAACGCAGTCCTCCTCAGCCTCCAATACTCAAATATTGAAACATAGATGAGGTTTCTGTCGACGGATGAAATACAGTGGCTATCTCCTCAGCACTTCCTGGTTCCAGTCCTGTGCATTGTCCTTCGTTGCTGGTCCCACTAGAGATGGTCATAAGCAGCTGTGGACGGAGGAGCCGAGCGCGACGCTGTGCTGTAGTAATAAGGCGAACCTGAGAATGGACACACGAAAAGACAAAACGTGTGTTATAGAAGGTGTGAGAGAGGGTTGAGATACAGAGGCAGAGGCAGAGAGAGAGACAGAGGCAGAGACACAGAGACAGAGGCAGAGAGAGGCAGAGGCAGAGGCAGAGACAGAGGCAGAGACAGAGGCAGAGACACAGAGGCAGAGACAGAGGCAGAGAGGAAGAGGCAGAGACACAGAGACAGAGACAGAGGCAGAGAGAGGCAGAGAGAGGCAGAGGCAGGGACAGATGAAGAGGCAGAGGAAGAGGCAGAGACAGAGGCAGAGACAGAGACAGAGGCAGAGACAGAGACAGAGGAAGAGGCAGAGGAAGAGGCAGAGGCAGAGACAGAGGCAGAGACAGAGACAGAGACAGAGGAAGGGGCAGAGGCAGAGACAGAGACTGAGAGTTAGACAGAGAGAGAGGCAGAGGCAGAGGCAGAGACTGAGACTGAGACAGAGGCAGAGGTCTTAGGACAGTGATGATCCAGTATTTTTCATGCACATTTACCACCAATGTGTTTGTCTTTAATGTATTCTCTGATCTGTTTTTTTGGTGACTCCACAACTTAGTAAAGTTCTTTGAGATGTTGCAGTTGTCCTTTAGGATTATAACTCAAATACACAGACTCAAATCGATTTGAATTATTTGGAATTAATGGTTCAACTTCGCCTTTTCATTACCAACTTTTATTTAGAATCTACGCAGGTGAAAATGAGTTGTGGGGACCTAGCAGTGTGTGTACTGTTGGGAAACATGTAAACATTGGTTGTGTGTGAGTTGTGGGGACCTGGCAGTGTGTGTATCGTGAAAATCGGTTGTGTGTGTTTTTGTGCGTACCCAAAATGCCAGAGTTGGTGAATCTCCAGGCCTCGCTGTAGGACGAGTACGGCGAGTGGCTGTAGGACTGTCCCGAGTAATCAGCCCCTAAAGAGAGAGAGAACAAAAAACTCCATGAAACATTAACTCATTACACTTATTACAACGCACAGGGCTGCTGTTCAGGACCAACTTTGTAGTGTTTCGGTCCATGCCTCATAATTCACCAACGGTTAGTGCAGCCGGTAAACCATTAATCCGGTGCCGGAGGGTGGAGCTGGGTCAAATCCCTGGGACCCACTGGTGCATGTAGCTACAGCCTCTGAAACGGACCTCCTCCCACTCTGTGTCCACTGCCTTCCTCAGCCGGGTCACACTCAGAGACCGCATTCAGATGGACAATGCTAACCTGCTAGCTCTACAAAGCACAATAGAGAAGTGCTCATGGATGGAGTTTGGCGCTGTTTAATTGAGTTGCTCTCGCTAATTAACAGTTTCTGTCACACTCACCCTTATTGGGCTAAGACATGCCTGTTATTGTCTTAAATCCAGATATGAGCCAAATGGGTTGCACTTTAATACCAGTTTTAGTAACTTTTTGTTTGGATGTGTTTCTGACTCCTGAATCTCTCCTAGTAGAAAGTATATATCTATCTATAACCATTGACCAATCCGATGCCTTCATGATCACCCTTTATTTAACCAGGGACGTCCCACTGAGATTTCAAAACATATTTTTTAGTCCTGCCCCCAGAGAGAGGCGAGTTAATGTGTATGTTTTTAATGGTAGGAGAAAAATAACATGTGAGAACCTGTATTTGTCCAACATGGGGACATTTTGATACATTTTGACAAATTTTATACATTTTAGGAAACGAGAACAACCTGAGGGAACCTACGTAGACATGGGGAGAACATGCAAAAGGGCTAAACACGTCTGCCCTTGTTACGCTGCAAAGCTAACGCCGCTACAGAAAGGCCCTTGTAAGGAAATCAGCTCCAGCTTTTTTCATGTTGAAATCGGTCTCTTCCGCCTCAAGGCTAAAGTGATGTCACACCCCCTCAGCGCACTCCTAACACACAGACTATGACTAGACTACAATTGTTTGTTACATTTTAATATATAATTGGTGATTATGTCGGCTGGTATTACTCCCTCCCCCCCTTTCCGGTGTCGCCCCCTCTTAACTCCCCCTCCCACCGCGATCCCAGCCAGTAATTGTGTATCAACGCTTTCTCGCAGTGAGCCCGCCCGAAAAATAATAAATCAGAGCCTCTCATTTCGCGCTTCGCAGGGCAGACTTCAAATAAAAACGGAGCACATTTGGCTCAGTACGCGGCGGGACCGGGGCTGGCAGCCGCTCGCTTCAAAACAACGCCCAAACCTTCTCCTTATCGCAAACATATTGTAGATTACACACAGCGAGGCTCGGGGAAGTCTGAGCTCTCACACAAATATAGTTATGTGGTGGCTATTACAACTATTACTGTAACTATATTACAATATATACATATATATATGTTACTCCAACCAGACCATGTTTATGTGGTGTGCAGGTGTTTAAAGCTATAGACACACAAGCAAAGGTACTTATACAAGACCCTGCACTGGTCCTATTGGAACATTGTTATACACACACACACACACACACACACACACACACACATACACAAACACTTATGCATACACACACACACACACAAACACACATGCACACACGCACACGCACACACACACACACACACACACACACACACAAACACGCACACAAAGAGAGACATACATACACACACACACACACACACACACACACACACAGACAGACACACACACACACACACACACACAAAGACAGACATACATACACACATACAGATGTCGGTGAATCTAAGAAAAATCGATTCTCTCTGGTGTCTGATGGTTTTGATACGTACTGTATGTAATATAAATATAGATCTATTCCTGCAGAACTTAGTAACGTAGTAATAATGTATTCATGTAATAATGTAGTAATGTAATAATAATGTAGTAATGTAATCTCCGTTCTTTCTCTCGACAACAATGTCCACTTTCAGGTCTTTAAAGCCACAGAATAACAAACCAAGACACTCAGACGAGACCTCCTCCTCTTGTTTCCCCCTCACAGATTCAGACCCCCTCGGCCTCCTCCCGGTCTCTGCTGGGCCCCCCGGTTCCCATGGCGATGTGTGGTCAGAGGTGCGGGATGTGGGGGGTGTGGGCAGCTAGGCGGAACCCCCAGCCTGTTCCCTCGCACCCCCTGGGCGCCGCCTCCACCCACACAGCCCGCTCTATTCAGCACCACCTCACATCCCAGAGCATGGATTCTATTCTATTTACATCAGAGTAGAGTAGAGTAGGGTAGGGTAGAGGAGGGTAGAGTAGAGTAGAGTAGAGTAGAGCACAGTAGAGTAGAGTAGAGTACAGTAGAGCACCAAATCCCAGAGCATGGATTCTATTCTATTTACATCAGAGTAGAGTAGAGTAGGGTAGGGTAGAGGAGGGTAGAGTAGAGTAGAGTAGAGTAGAGCACAGTAGAGTAGAGTAGAGTACAGTAGAGTATAGTAGAGTAGGGTAGAGTAGAGTACAGTAGAGTAGAGTAGAGGAGGGTAGAGTAGAGTACAGTACAGTAGAGTAGAGTAGAGTAGAGGAGGGTAGAGTAGAGTGGGGTAGAGTAGAGTAGGGTAGGGTAGGGTAGAGTACAGTAGAGTAGAGTAGAGGAGGGAAGAGGAGGGTAGAGTAGAGTAGGGTAGAGGAGGGTGGAGTACAGTAGAGTAGAGTAGAGTAGGGTAGAGGAGAGTAGAGTAGAGTAGAGTAGAGTAGAGTAGAGTAGGGTAGAGGAGGGTAAAGTAGAGTGGAGTAGAATAGAGTAGAGTAGGGTAGAGGAGGGTAGAGGAGGGTAGAGCAGAGTAGGGTAGAGTAGAGTAGAGTAGGGTAGGGTAGGGTAGGGTAGGGTAAGGTAGGGTAGGGTAGAGTAGGGTAGAGTAGAGTAGGGTAGATTAGAGTAGAGTAGAGTAGAGTAGAGTAGAGTAGAGGAGGGTAGAGTAGAGTACAGAAGGGTAGGGTAGAGGAGAGTAGAGTACAGGAGGGTAGAGTAGAGTGGGGTAGAGTAGAGTACAGTAGAGTAGAGCAGAGTAGAGTAGGGTAGAGGAGGGTAGAGTAGAGTAGAGGAGGGTAGAGTAGAGTAGAGTAGTGTAGAGTAGAGTAGAGTAGAGTAGGGTAGAGTAGAGTAGGGTAGGGTAGAGAAGAGTAGAGTAAAGTAGAGTAGAGTAGGGTAGGGTAGAGTAGAGTAGAGTAGAGTGGTGTAGAGTAGAGTAGAGTAGAGTAGAGTAGGGTAGAGTAGAGTAGAGTACAGTAGGGTAGAGTAGAGGAGAGTAGAGTAGAGGAGGGTAGAGTAGAGTGGGGTAGAGTAGAGTACAGTAGAGTAGAGTAGAGGAGGGTAGAGTACAGTAGAGTAGAGTGGAGTAGGGCAGAGGAGGGTAGAGTAGAGTAGAGTAGAGTAGAGTAGGGTAGAGGAGGGTAGAGTAGAGTAGGGTAGAGGACGGTAGTGTAGAGTAGAGTAGGGTAGGGTAGAATAGAGTAGAGTAGGGTAGAGTAGAATAGAGTAGAGTAGAGTAGGGTCGAGTAGGGTAGAGTAGAGTAGGGTAGGGTAGAGAGGAGTGGGGTAGAGTAGGTTAGGGTAGAGTAGAGTAGGGTAGAGTAGAGTGGTGTAGAATAGAGTAGAGTATAGTAGAGTAGAGTAGGGTAGAGTAGAGTAGAGCAGAGTAGGGTAGAGTAGAGTAGAGTAGAGTAGGGTAGAGTAGAGTAGAGTAGAGTAGGGTAGAGTAGAGTAGAGTAGAGTAGGGTAGGGTAGGGTAGGGTAGAGTAAAGTGGTGTAGAGTAGAGTAGAGTAGAGGAGAGTAGGGTAGAGTAGAGTAGAGTAGAGTAGAGTAGAGTAGAGTAGGGTAGAGTAGAGTAGAGTAGAGTAGAGTAGAGTAGGGTAGAGTAGAGTAGAGTAGAGTAGAGTAGAGTAGAGTAGAGTAGAGTGGGGTAGAGCAGAGTAGAGTAGAGTAGAGTAGGGTAGGGTAGTGTATAGTAGAGTAGAGTAGAGTAGAGTAGAGTAGAGTAGGGTAGAGTAGAGTAGAGTAGAGTAGGGTAGAGTAGAGTAGAGTAGAGTATGTACATAATTCTTATGCAAAAATATCCTTCTTAGTCTTTGTGGTGATGATCTGAATGTGTTTTTTATCGCTGCATTGCTTTTGTTTAAACTGTTTGATTTTCTGATCTGTTTTTGGGAAATCAACAGTTTTGTAACAGTCTACTACTGTTGTGATTCAGACCGAAACAAAATACATTTAATTAAACTGAAATTGGGAAGTTTGACAAAGGATCCATTTTCTGGTGTGTACTTATTTCTGAGCCAAAATATGCAACAATGAGTAAGTTATATTATCTCTCTCTCTGGTCTCTCTCTGGTCTCTCTCTCTAGTCTCTCTTTCTCTGGTCTCTCTCTGGTCTCTCCCTGGTCTCTCTCTCTGGTCTTTCTCTGGTCTCTCACTGGTTTCTCCCTGGTCTCTCTCTCTGGTCTCTCTCTCTGGTCTCTCTCTGGTATCTCTCTGGTCTCTCTCTGGTCTCTCCCTGGTCTTTCTCTCTGGTATCTCTCTGGTCTCTCTTTGGTCTCTCTCTGGTCTCTCCCTGGTCTCTCTCTGGTCTCTCCCTGGTCTTGCTCTGGTCTCTCTTTCTGGTCTCTTTATGGTCTCTCTCTCTCTGGTCTCTCTTTCTGGTCTCTCTCTGGTCTCTCTCTCTCTGGTCTCTCATTCTGGTCTCTCTCTGGTTTACTTTTGATCTTTTTGTCGTATAGAAGTGTAAATATGTGCCGTATCTGGTGTTTGGGGGGTTTCTCACCTGCTACCATACTGGTGATGGCTGATGTGGAGTATCCGGACTGTGAGGGGGGAGGAATGTGTGGGGGGTATCCCGGCAGAGTGGAGCTCACCATGTCCCGCCCTGGAACACACACCAGGAAAACAAGAGTTAGATTTAAAATGTCCAAAGTACATGTAACACAATAGGATCTACTCTACTCAGCACAAGTACCAGTAACACTAGTACCAGTAACACTAGTACCAGTAACAGGAAAAGCTATTTTCAGTCTCTTCACACAATGGTCCTAAAATTATAACCATATATAACCTTTTTTGTGTCTTTTTCCGTAGCTTTTTTGTTTATTATTAGTATTGTTACTATGACTATTATCCACTCATTGTTGTTCTTTTTTTAAATTCTATTTTTTAAACATAATCTTTATTAATAATAAAGAATATTTAAAAAAAATAGAATTTAAAAATATACTTTATATACTTTTTTCAATTCTTTTTCAACTGTCATATTATTATAATTATTATTATCATTTAATGTAATCCTTTCCTTTGTGTTGCTGCTGCCTGGTTGTGATTTGGAGTTATGACATTTAAACCAATCAAACTCAGTAAAGTTGATGAGACCGTTTGGGCAGAATTTATAATGTCATAAATATTCTCCACGGCACGAGGACCAAGCCAGGTTTACCTACAGCCTCAATGCTGCCTCAAAAGGAAAAAGAGTGGGGAAATTCCAGTGTTGTAACGCACAGGGAAGAACAACATATAAGAAGCACTCAAACACATATAATAAACACACACACACCCACACACACACACACACCCACACACGCACACACACAAACACACGCACACACACACACACACACACACGTGACAGATGCCCGCGTTACCTGAGATGATGGACTGGCTGCTGAACTGGCCGTACACAGGTGCATGATGGGAGAAGGAGCTGATGGAGTTGGGGAAATGGTTAGGGGCCACGGAGGCGGGGGTCATGTGGGGGGAGGGGCTGCAGCTGGGCACCTCTGGAGAGAGCTCGTGTTTGAGGCACAGCGGCAGGGACTGGACACACTCTGGGTGAGGGTCATGACCATACACACACAGGAGGGAGACACATGGACAGATGAATGAGCACGGAGAGAACATGCAAATCCCACTGAGAAACCCCCCGGACATGAATCGCGATATATCACAGAATCAAATCACATCCTGTTTGTATCGCGAAATGTCAAGAATCACGATAATATTGAAATTTTGCAATATTATCAAAGTATTAGCACTATCAGCAAATATAGACACACACAGACACGCACACACACATACACACACACCCTCCCTACCGCATACACACACAGACACGCACACACACATACACACACACCCTCCCTACCTCATACACACCCAGACACGCACACACACACACGCACACACACACACAGACACGCACACACTCACACACACACACACACACACACGCGCACACACACAGACACACACACAAACACACAGACATACACAGACAGACACACACACACTGGACTCACCCGTCACCACCGTGTAGCCCTGATGCCCTGTCAGATTTCGGCTGATGTTGGTGCTGAGGCTGTTCTTGGCCTCCTCCAGACTGTTGTTGATGAGTGACAGCGGATACAGCGTCTGCGACGGAAGTAAGTCCTGCTTATTCATAAGGCACAGATGACACTGGGTTAACTCTGGGTTAACTCTGGATTAACTCTGGTTTAACTTAACTCTGGTTTAACTCTGGTTTAACTCTGGGTTAACTCTGGGTTAACTCTGGATTAACTCTGGTTTAACTCTGGTTTAACTCTGGTTTAACTTTGGTTTAACTCTGGTTTAACTCTGGGTTAACTCTGGGTTAACTCTGGTTTAACTCTGTTTTAACTTTGGGACTCTCTGCTGGGATTGCTCCTATTCAAACCGATAAGATTCTGAAAAAATATCCCCAAAATGTTTAGTTTTCTGCCGTATTAGTGAAGTAATTTAATTATAAGCTTTTGTTTTACCTGTTCTCAAATTTAATAAGAACAAAATACAGCAGAATCAGTTTGTTGAAATGCTAATGCTAAAGAGCAAATGCTAATGGGCAGGTAAACAGTGTGTTGCTATGGTAACTAGCATTAACCGACTGAAACAGCTCAGAACCAGTCCAGGACTAGTCTGGGACCAGTCCAGGACCGATCCAGGACTAGTCCAGTCTAGATTTGAGAATGGGTCTCTAACTACCATATAACGTTGATTAGTAAGCAACAGAACATTTCTACATTCATATTTTAGCTAAAGTTAAAAAGTAGAACTGAATAAAGCCTAACCCAATGAATAAAATAGCGAAATAATGACATAGAAATAAATCACGAAACACACTCGTCGAGGGGCAAAGCTCTGGAACTCTTTAGGCCTAAACTGAACTGAGCTGAACTGAGCTGGTTTTAACACATGAAATGTGATCATTGAGTGTGATCATTGAGGACTTGGGGGACCCCTGCCTTGTGTTAAAAATCCTTCTTGACGTTATGTTGAGTATGCCTGTTCCATGTTCATTGTGTTGACAAGTTCCTATCAAATGAATGGATGAATGAATGGATGAATGACCTGCTCCGTCTTGCTGCTGGAGGGCGAGCTGAAGGCGTCGCTGGGGTAATGGTGCCGGTCGAAGCCACACTCCAGATGCTGCGATGCGGCGGTGAAATGGTCCAGTCTCATCTGCTTCCTGGGACCTCCGCCGCTGCCCTGAGAGTCCACACTGTGTCGGCAGCTCTCCTGGTCACCTAAACCAAACAACAGAGGAATGAGTCTGTCTGTGGGGCTTTAGTACCGGCAGCTCTCCTGGTCACCTAAACCAAACACCAGAGGAATGAGTCTGTCTGTGGGGTTTTAGTTCATGTGTAATCGTTCATGGAATCCTGTCTGTAGATGGATGCATTCATTATGTGTTTGTGTTGTCGGTGAGTATCTCCAGGGACACACCTCCATCTGTTTATGTTTATGTGAGAGGCAGAAAGCGACACAAGTTACCCAGGACCAGGACTGATAGGGCTGATCATCGCAGAGGTTATGGACTTACTGTTTTGACTCCATACATTTTGATGACCAATAGGATGCAGGTTTAGTGGAGATAACTTTGAAATGTGTTTTTATAACCGTTGAATCTGTTGTTGGTGAATTGACATCTTTGTGACTGATGTATTTGTGCTTACGGTTTTACACAAATACATTGAATTGAGTTGAGTGAGAATGCTAACGCTAACGCCTCGTCATTTAATTATGTTGTGACCAGTTTATGGACTTATAATTTTGACTCCATCCAGGTTTAGGCTGGTTTTTATGATCCTTTTATTTAGAAAAATGTATCTTAATCTGAGCACAATGGGACTTTCTTAAAACAAGACTCATATGAATTTGATAATCAGAAAAATGCTGCTCTTTTTATCATCTCAAAGTTCTTAGCAAAGTAAAATCTTACATTCCACATGCCCATTTTGAGAAGGCCATTAATGCTTTTGTCACTTCCAGGCGTTGTTATAGTCGCTCTGTCTGTGCTGCAGTGACCAGGCCCAGCTCAGCCGCCAACAGGGACAAAGGGACCACATCACTCCTGCTCTGCGATCCCTGCACTGGCTCCGGCTACACTTTAGAATTCTTATTATCTGAGGAGACAGAGCTTTTTCTGTGGAACTCTTTACCTTTGCACATTAGAACAGGTAGAAAGCTTTTGGTTTTTATGTGTTAAAAGATTTCATGACACTTTGAAGCAACTGTGGTTAAAGTTCTATCTCATCATTCATTATGCACAAGACAGTACTTTTCCACTGCGTGTTTTGATTTCTGAAGGCCAAAGCTACTGGCACCGTGGCAAATGCTAATTGGAGGACACAATTCCTCCGCTATATATTATCACTTGCAGTCTGTAACATCTTTGTTGGTGCTGCCTCTACCATCAACAATAAAACATGTCTTCTGTCTGAATTAAAAACACGATCCCAGACTTTGCCATCATCTTCATGTGTTTATAAATGTCTATATATTGGTTTGTTTTTATTGTGCTATTTATACAGTCTGCACCGCGCTTTGTAAGCCTGGGCTGTTTTAAGTGCTCTACAGATTTGCAGTGTATTCATGGTTGGTCTTGGGTCGGGTCTGTCCTTACTGTCGTCGTGGCTCCTCTTGCCCTCGGCTCCGGTCTGGGGGATGCCCAAGAGGCCGTTGATAGAGTACGTGGATCCCAGAGAGTCTGACTGTGGAGATTCTGGAGGAGTCACAGCTGAACTGGGAACTGCAGAGAAAACAGAGAAAAGTGTTATGTTCCGCGGCACAAGGTCAAGGACTTAATAGAGTCTGCGCGACAATAACACGCCGGCTCTTTAACCCTAATCCTTGACAAGAGGGGCTTTATGTTCAGTAATGTACATGTCTGTATTTACAAATGTGTCCGGGAGGAACCTACTTAATGTTTGACCAGGACTGAGGCCTTTCCCGTCCAGGGGCAGGTTGAACGGCTGCTGGACCTTGGTGCGAATGATTCTACAAGAAAAACAACGGAGAAGGAATTCTTGAGACGGAGCAGTTATGTCATCACACAACATTTATAGTTAGTCAGTTCATTCCATTCCACTTGGTTTAGTTTTCTGAATTCCTAAATCACAGCAGTAGCTATTTTCAAACTCAAGAAATGCAAATATAAAGTCGAGCAGAGCCATCGGTCCGTGAGCGGTGATGACCCAGGACCATAAAAGTAGGAAGTACTTAATGTTATCTACAGAATATGGAGAGTTTCACAGAACAATGTCTCCCAAAGAGCTTTACTGAGAAACGTTTTTGAAGCTACTTTTCTAACCCCTTCACTCACTTTATTTTCCGAAAATGTCAAATAAATAATACACAGAAACTATGGAACAGTGACCTCTGAACTTTAGAGCAGGAGCTTTTTAAATCAGGTCTAAAAACACATTTGTGCCTCGGCCTTTAACACAAACTACTGATCTGTGTTAATCTGTATTTTATGCTGTTTTATGTCTTTGTGCTGTAGAGAGCTGGTGCGTTGTAAATGTGCTACACTATTAAATATGACATTGACATTGTGCTGACTGCTTCATCCAACCCCGTTTCAAACCTGTATCAATGTGAAGAAATGTGAGATTGTGTTCTGCAGGTTTGATCTATGATTAACTACATTCAGACCCATTTTACATAATTATAGTGGTAGGGTAAACTGGAGCGCCTGGAGGGAACCTACACAGACACAGGGAAAACAGAAAGGCCTGGAGGTGGAAACCCAGTTATAGGCGGCACACAAGTTAATAATCAACTGTCTTTGAGTTTCTGCGGTCACTGTTCCCACAATGATTTGCCTTTGGCTTTGGAGTCAGCTCGGCTCGGCTCGGCTCGGCTCGGCCTCAGTCACCTATTTATGGAGCTGACGCTGGGCACGCTGTCACTGTCGCACACGCCCTCGGCGAGCAGACGGTCCCGGATCTCCCAGGCAAACATGGTCGGGTTCTGTCTTTTGTACTCTGCGATTTTATCCACGACTTTTGGAGTCGCCACTTTGGGCTTGGAGCCGCCGATAACGCCAGGTTTGATGCTCCCTGTTTCGTAGTAGCTGCAGAAACAGAAACAAAACAGTATACAATGGATTAAAATAAACTATCAGTGCAAAAAATAAGGAGAAATGCAGTTAAATCACACTGTCAGTGCTCATCCGGCAGTTGTTAAGTATTGCATTGCATCATTCATGCAGCAGCCCTCCTCCTCCCCATCCCCTGTCCAGATCTCTCCCCTTCTCTGAGCTCCCCACGAGGTCCAGGTCCTGACAGTCTGATAAAGTCATTTCCATGTTCCCTTCTGTCACAGTGCTCCGCCGAGGTCTATGCACCAAATCTTAACCCAATTTCTTGTACATATCGCAAAATGTTTTGTGAGAACTTGATGCAAGTAAGACACTCCCATTGCTTTGCTTCAGACTCAAGGGGACTTGAACTGTTGCATGGATGAGATTTGATATTTACAAGTGGATTATTAAACACAGTCAAACTTGTTTCTTAAGTTTTTCTTTTTTCCCCAGATTGAAACGTTGAAAGCCAGGCCCATGTCATCATAGGAAGTAAGTATTGTTTGTTTAGACCTTTCTCAGACCAGAGTCAAAGACCTTTACAGTTGTTACATTGGTCTGTCACTCCACACAGAGATGGGAGGGGCCAGTACAGGAGGCACAGACCTATTGTGCATGTTTTTAGTGGTAGGGGAAACCGGAGCACCTGGAGGAAACCTACCCAGACACTCAGAAAAGTCCTGTTCCGACCGGGATTCGAACCCAATGACGTTATGGATAATAATAGTTTGTGTTTCTCACCGGCCCAGGATCTTGCTGACGCAGCCGTGACTGACCCGGAGCTGGCGGGAGATGTCGCAGGGTCGGACCCCCTGGTGAGCCATGTCCACGATGCGCTGCCGGATCACCTCCGGGAGCGGACGACCATTTACAAACATTCCTCCTAGTTGGTTAAGACCCCCATGACCTGGGGGAGTGAGAGGATGAACAACCTCAGTGTCGGGAAGAGAACCCTCAACCGTCACATTAGCACCGACGGTAACGGTTAGAAATAAAGTCTGTGCAGGAAATAATTATGTAGAATAAAAAGAAGCAGGTTTCTTGTTTTTGTTTTTTTCATGTAATGTATTTTTGTATTGCCCTAAATCACAACAGTCTCAGAAGAGTTTACAAAGTTGTGGATTCTTCAACACAGATCAGAAAATCAAACCGTTCAAACAAAGGAAATGCAAAGATGAAACAAACATTTGACAGAAACGTTGATAAATGTCCAGAAAAGGCCTTAATTGTCCAGAATCCTTTCCATCCTCAGACACTCCTGCGTTACAAATATTCTTTATTATTTTTTTCATTCTGATTCTGAAGTGTTCCGTCTGTGGAATGACTTTAACAGAATATTCTCTGTGATTTGAATCAATTAGGCTTTTTTTAAAAACCTGTTTCCTGTCTCTGAATGTAACAGTTTGAATTGTTCAGAATAAATATTTTATTTCAACACTGAATTTACGACTTTTTTATTCTTATTTTTTAGGTAAATGTTTTTCATACGTTTACATTTTAAGATTAATTCATGATTATGAGCTTGAAATAAATACAATCATTATTATTATAATATTATTATTATTATTATTATTGTCATATTAAGTCATATCCACATTATTAGAGGCCGGTCACATCCCGGTCTGTCCCGGTCTGTCCCGGTGTAGTGTAGTTACCTCTTCCCGTGTTGCTGGACATTCCCCTGAGTTGTCCTCGATCCTCAGTCCTTGGTCCTCAGTCCTTGGTCCTCAGTCCTCAGTCCTTGGTCCTCAGTCCTATGTCCTCAGTTCTATGTCCTCGCTCCTCGCTCCTCGGTCCTTGCTCCTCGCTCCTCGTGTGGAAAGTGCGTGTCTCTGGTGTTTGCGTGTGTCTAGTGGAGAACGGAGGAAAACCTGACAACATGATAATATTATTAAATTATAATAATATAACATCAGAATATTACACCACAAGCTTTCAATCAGAAACAGGATTCTCTAAACAAAATATACATTTGTTTTTTTCAAAAATGTGGACCCTGGAATGACGGAACCTTTTTCTATTTTATTTAACCATGTGAGACGCGGGGACTGCAGACCGGGACTCAGGACTGTACGGACTCAGGACTATACGGACTCAGGACTGTACGGACTCGGATCTCAGGATTTGGGGCTGGAAATTATGGACTTGAGACTCGTTACATGAAGAGGTTTTCACATATTTCTACTTGTCCTTTTGAGCTCTAATCGTGACGTAAAACAACGAATTTATGTTTTCCTCTCTGTGTCCGTGCAAACAGGAGCGCATATGGAACTAAACCCAAACCCACGTGTCTCTGAAGTTACGGCGCGTGAATAATAATTAAAACTAAACTATCCTGCTCTAAAGACACAGAAAGGACCTGAACACAACCACTTTGATGAGTTTCACTGCAGACAGTCTCTCACGACGTTATGACGTGGACCACCCTAAACCACAGCGGTTGCAGTTGTCGATTCCCCAGCGCAGATCAGAGAATCAAAACGGTCCAAACACAATAAGATAAAAACACAGACAGCAGTGGTCCAAACGGTTCATGACCAATGTCTATAAATGTGAAAAAATATCCTTAAGCGTCCCGAGGCCCTCCTGCATCTGAGTATTTCACACACTAAAGAACATAAATGAGTCAGAGTTTATGTGGATCATGGTTTTCTTATTTAGTCTGAATTTTACACAGTTTTTCCAGATTCCTCTTTAAAACTAAAAGTGAGTTGTCATAAATCAGACCCGGTGGAAACAAGCAGATTTAAATTCACAGTAAATACAAATATACAGGCGCATATGTAGGGCCTGTGGACGTCCATGAAACCGCAGTTTAAAAATCATTATTATTGTTTTAAAATGTGAAAAGTGTGTGTTTTGCAGCGCGCGCTGCTGACATTGACAGATCACGGCTTTTCCTCAAACTAACAACAATGACACGGTTATTACTGGTCAATTACAGACTCATTACTGAGGCCTGGAGACGCGTTTGGCGTTTGGGGCGAAATACACACAGCAATTATTTTACTAAAGCCATTTTCTGCCATGTTTTTATGTCATTCTGACCCAAAACTACAAGCTGAAAACGTAGCCGGGAATATAAAATTATTCTTTTAGTAATTATGTCCAGAATAAACCAGATCTGAGCCCAATCTTTACGCTGCTGTTTCAATATCACATGATTTGTTTTGATCTGTTTTTAATTCTCTGCGTTGTGTTAAAAAACTGAGACTATGACGTGGAATTTAAGTCACGTTTTGAGTCTGAAATGAATCCAATATTTATTAAACTAAACTGAGAATAAATCAAAGAAAGAGAGCTATTTGGTGTCATTCTTTCACAGATAAAACAGTGACATTTAAGGACATTTATGAACATTAAGAACCCCAAACAGCTCCTGTGTGTGTGTTGTTATTAAAGTATTTTCTGTTCAGACTGTTATGATTTGGGGCTAAACACATTGATGTGAAGGAAGTAAAAAAGGCCAATATTATTTGTAGTTTTTGCAATATTCGTGAATGACCCTGGTCCGGACCGCAGCACGTGTAAAACCACATTTATGGGTTTTAATGCCATAGTAAATATTTATTACATCTGCAAAAATAATAAATCTATGCAGTATTTTATGGTTATAATTCCGGACGTGCCGCTGCAGCTTTTTACGTTTCTTTGGGTTTCAATCTCTGCCGTTACGTAAAGAGACTGACAGTTTCTCTCATAAATACTATTAACTATATTACCCTGGTGACATATGTGTGTGTGTGTGTGTGTGTGTATATATGGTTTATTTGCAAAAACACACCAGTGCCATTATAACATAAATAAAATAGTTAAAATTTTCTCGTTTTTGGATCTATTTTAGTGCCATACAATAAAAGTGTCACCGCTGTTTTAGCCAAAAAAGAAAACTATTTTTGACCAATTCTCAAAACGAAACTATACGTCATTAAGTATTTTTTTTATTTATTTTTTTATCAAGTATTAGTTTCCACGGACCACAAGTACCACCAGGTTTACATTTTCGTTCCAATAATTTAGTTTTTTCCTATAAATAAAATCCAGCCTCTCTCTTCTCTGTGTCGGACTCAGGACCCACAGCTCTCACCTTTACGCAGAGGGTGCTCTCTCCTCCCGCAGTGCCCTGGAGATATCCTGCTGTATTATCCAAACGGGGCTCGGGCTGCTCTGTTCTGCTGCTGCGGGACTCAGGTCAGGTTTTATCCCGGCGATGCGCGATGGGGATGGCGCCCTGTTCCTATTGGCTGGGACTTGGAAAGGGGCGTGGCCGAGCGGAAACGCGAAGCCGCAAATTCAGAAAACGTCTTGAATAAAATAGAGAGAGATGAGGTTTTTTTTTCATTCACATCATTTATTACAATTAGGGCTTCACCGGGACTGGAACAAACTTAGAAATGTGACGTGAGTTTACGCTGTGGTTAGAATAATGTTTAGTCGATTAGAGATCGATTAATAAACATAGACACAGATAATCAGAGATGGATACTTTAAATGTATCCTAATAATTAAATCCAGAAGCACATCTATCAAATAAATACTGTTGTTATTATCTGTAAAATGATTTGAAAGAAGGAGTAAAACTTTATAAAAACACTGAAATAGATCTGTCTAAAACGTGTTAAGGACGTAACTGTGGAATCCTTTCAAATATGTTTCTGAAGGAAGTTTCTGATGTTTTTTTGCAGATGAATGAACAATAATCTCTTCTTCAGACAAAACACTGCATCAAAGCCGTGTTCTGATCCTTTCAACGTTTCTTTCTGATTTATGTTGCACTGGTGCTTTACCTCTTTATGGCCAGAAACACGTTCCACCTTAAAGTACGTGAAGTTATAAAGTATTTACTAAAAATATAGATTTGTCAAAGTTGGTTCCACTTGATATTCACGGATCTGTCTGTGCTCCTCTAATGTTTACACTAAACTTCCTACGGTAAAGATTCTCCTTAATCGATCAATCAATCGATCAATCAAGTGGTCTGTCTATCTTGATCTAAATCCCGGATGCGTCTCAAGGCGCGTCCCCAGAAGAGGACGTTCCTCCGCAACATCCTGGAGCAGAAACATGTTTGAAAGTCTTTGAGGACTGAGGCTGTATAGACCCAGGACTGAGGCTGTAAACGCAGGACTGAGGCCGTAGATCCAGGACTGATCCAGGACTGAGGCCGTAGACCCAGGACTGAGGCTGTAGACCCCGGACTGAGGCTGTAGACCCAGGACTGAGGCTGTAGACCCAGGACTGAGGCTGTAGACCCAGGACTAAAGAAAAAAACATTTTAACACAAAATGTTTTTTGATTTTGTTTTTCTTTCCTTCTTCTTGTGTTTGTCTTGTGTCTTTTGTCCGCGGGTGTGAAAGTTTGTGTTGGGCCCAGAAGTGGACGCGCTCACCCGCAGCGTCACGGGCCCTCGCGCACGCGGTGATGTCACACTCTTGAAGCGGGACCCCCCCCAGAGTCCATGGTTCTCAGGAGCCTGCTACACAAACACAACACCTCCTGAGACTGCGGCGGCCCCGCGCTGTCTGTGCCACAGCCACAGCTGCCCTCTGTGCACGGACTAATGTGCACGGATCCCTGTGCACGGACTCGTGTGCACGGACTCATGTGCACGGACTCATGTGCACGGACTCGTGTCCACGGACTCATGTGCACGGACTCATGTGCACGGACTCATGTGCACGTACTCATGAGAGTATGAAGCGAGATGCAGCGAGGGTTCGAGTCCCAATCCATTAAATTCAAACCGAGGCCGAATCAAAGAGGACGTGAAAGAGGACTTAAAACAGGACCTGAAAGAGGCCCATTATGGAGTGTGTCAAACGGCTCCTTATCTCATCTGCTCCTCCTGACTTCAGAGAGAGCGCGGACAATGGACCTGTGTTTGTGAATAAATACTGAATAAATACTGAATATATAGACGGAGGAATCATAGCGCAGGGATAGAGACACAGGGACACAGAGACACAGGGACACTGGGATCAAAGGGACACTGGGATCACAGGGACACAGGCACAGAGAGACACAGAGACACAGGGACACAGGGATCACAGGGACACTGGGATCACAGGGACGCAGAGACACAGGGATCACAGGGACACTGCGCTCTCTGTGGAGGGAGACACACGCACGGTGCCCGCGGCCTCAGAGGTTATCCGGAGTTTAACAAGAGATTTAAATGATTGGAATCTGACTCTGTTTCAGGAAGGTGTGTGTGTGGGGGGGGGGGACCAATGGCTGCTGTGTGTTTTATGTTTTTATCGCTGCATTTGTTGTGTTAGAACTATATGATTCTCTCTTTGTAAAGTCCTGTGTGTGTGTGTGTGTGCGTGCGTAAGTTTGAGTGTGTGTGTGTGTGCGCGCGCGTGTGCGTGTGTGTGTGTGTGTGTGCTGTAATAACACAAAAAATATATTCAGATTAAAACCTTTGTGCAAAAGTAAAATGTGAAAATTATAATTATCATAATTAAAGAAAGTTTGACGTGAGTGTTTTTGACTCAGACAGGAAACACTGAAACTGTGGTTTTAAGGGTAATAATAATACTAATAATAAAACTAATAATATTACAATAATAGTACTAATTATAGCACTAATGATAGTGCCAATAACAAGATGAAAAAAAAAACACCTTTAGAACCAGACGCAAGCGTACGCAAACTCTCGCGCACACCACGCACACGGACACGCACGCACAGGTTTAAACAGTTTTTGATTCACCTGTCAAATATAATAATAATACTAATAATAGTAATAATAATAATGATAGTAATAAGAATAATCATAATAATAATAATAATAATGATAATAATAATGATAATAATAATACAGTTTAAATTGTTTCTCCAAAAATAAATGCACTAATCAGAGCATAATATTCAGTGGCGATTTAGTGAATGTTGGAAAAACAGACCTGTTCCTATCTGTTCATCTTTAGACCCAGATCTACAGCAGCAGAGTGTGTGTGTAGTAAGTAAGTAATGTTTATTTATATAGCACAAGTTACAGACCAAGGTACAGACCCAAAGCACTTTCCAATGTTCAGAGTCAGATATTGTTCCAATCCTTCCACACACGGTGATGACAGAAGCGAGTCCAGAACACACTGGACCATCAGCTCCAATCAACACCATCCATTCACTCTCTCATTTACATTCAGACCTATTGTGCATGTTTTTAGTGGTAGGGGAAACCGGAGCACCCGGAGGAAACCTACGCAGACACAGGGAGAACATGCAAACTCCACTCAGAAAGGACCTGTTCCAACCGGGATTCGAACCCAGGACCTTATTGCTGAGAAGCGAGAGTGCTAACCACTCAGCCACCGTGCCGCCCGTGTGTGTGTCTGTGTGTGTGTGTTGTGTGTGTGTGTGTGTGTGCGTGTGTGTGTGTGTGGTGTGTGTGTGTGTGTGTTGTGTGTTGTGTGTGTGTGTGTGTGTTGTGTGTGTGTGTGCGTCTGTGTGTTGTGTGTGTTACCGTGTGATGAAGAAAGACTCGTTCTCTTAATACAATACATATTTGTCTCTGTTACTCTTACGTTTGAACCTAAACCCAGACTAAAGCCAGACTAAAGCCAGACTAAAGCCAGACTAAACCCAGACTAAAACACATTGATGAAAGTGATATTTTTGGAAAGTTTTTGACCCAGATTTTAATCCATAAACTCATATTTGTTTTGTCATGACCTTTGAACTTCATGTTTGTAACCGCGGGTTACAAACATGAGTTCATACTCAGTCACACCCGGCATTGCCCTCTGTCTCTGTCTGTAAGGTTTCTCTCTCTGTAGGATTTCTCTCTGTGACGTGGGCTGTGTGGATGCGCGGTCAGAGACAGAGGTCATTGGTTCCACTGGACTCAGAGGGACCGGTAATTAAACCGTGCCCTCAGAGATAACGAGCAGCGAGGGTTTCTCAATCTGCGGTGCACCCACAGACTGTAACATTCAAATTGTTTTACTTTTTATTTGGTTCATTTCAGAAGGACAGAAAACACAGCCTCGTGACGGTGATAATAAATCATAATAATGAATAATAATTTAGATGTTTCTCTGCACTTGATTATTATTATTTTGACAAAGATTATTCACTTTTGGAACAAAGATCGCAAAAAAACCTGTTTACACAAAAAACTAATCTATGCAAAAACTCAAAACAAAATCCTTTGGGAAAGCTCTGTGTAAAACTGTATAATCCATCCATCCATTTTCTTCCGCTTCATCCGTTGCCGGGTCGCGGGGGCAGCAGTCTAAGCAGAGACGCCCAGACTTCCCTCTCACACACACTTCCTCCAGCTCGTCCGACCCCAAGGTGTTCCCAGGCCAGCTGAGAGACATAGTCCCTCCAGCGTGTCCTGGGTCTTCCCCGGGGCCTCCTCCCGGTGGGACGTGCCTGGAACACCTCCCCAGGGAGGCGTCCAGGAGGCATCCGGAACAGATGCCCGAGCCACCTCAACTGGTTCCTCTCGACGTGGAGAAGCAGCGGCTCTACTCCGAGCTCCTCCCGTGTGACTGAGCTCCTTACCCTATCTCTAAGGGAGCAGCCACTCTGCGGAGGAAGCTCATTTCAACCGCTTGTATCCGCGATCTCGTTCTTTCGATCATTACCCAAAGCTCATGACCATAGGTGAGGGAGGGAACGAAGATTGAACAAGACCCCGAGATACTTAAACTCCTCCACTTGAAGAAGGACCTCTCCACCTGGATAGGACCAGGACCTGGAGAGGACCAGGACCTGGAGAGTGTTCCACGACCGGGACCAAAACCACACTGCTCCACCTGAATCCGTGATTCGACCATCGGCCGTAGTCTCCTCTCCAGTACCTTGGAGAAGACCTTAACAGGGAGGCTGAGGAGTGTGATCCCACAATAATTGGAACACACCCTCCGGTCCCCCTTCTTGTAGAGAGGGACCACCCCGGTCTGAGAGGGACCACCCCCCAGTCTGCCACTCCATTGGCACCGCCCCCGATCGGCACGCGATATTGCAGAGACGTGTCCGCTAAGACAGTCCTACAACATCCACAAACTGAAGATAGTCAGGACGGAACTCATCCACTCCCGGCGTCTTGCCACCAAGGTGGTTGGCAGCCTCCTTGGTAGCAAGACGCCGGGAAATGGAAGTATCCGTCCCAACATCCTCAGCCTCTGCCTCCAGAACAGAAGACGTGGCGGGGGGATCCTCGAAGTATTCCTTCCACCGCCCGACAATATCCCCAGTCGAGGTCAGCAGCCCTCCACCCGCACCGTACACGTTGTTGGCAAAGAAGTGCTTCCCCCTCCTGAGGCGCCGGACGGTTTGCCAGAATTTCTTTGAGGCCGACCGATAGTCATGCTCCGTGGACTCTCCGAACTCCTCCCAGTCCCGGGTTTTTGCCTCCGTGACAGCCCGGGCAGCGGCACGCTTGGCCTGCCGGTACTGGACAGCTGCCTCAGGAGTCCCCTGAACCATCATGGCTCGACAGGACTGTGGCTGTAATCTCTAAATAAAGTGTGATTTTCAGATCATTCATTGATGTGACATCATCCTAATCTGATTAAGGCTGTGGTCAGTGACGGAGGCGGATCGCCCTCTCACTCCTCTCAAAGTTGCCACTTCACCCGGGCCCTGTTGTCACCATATGGGACGTCATGTCGAGGTCCAATACAGCTGGGGGGGGGGGGGGGGGGGGGGACATCAGACATCACAGGGACCCTTTGGCTTTCGGATTCCACCATCTGGTTTATTTAGCTTTCCTCCATTCTGTTACACATCTTTCTCTTCCTGTGTTTTGTGCTCCTCCTCCTCCTCCCCCCGCCCCCTCCTCTCATCCTTGTGTGTGTCTTGCAAACCATTGTCTTGTCCCATTTCCGCTTTGGTGCTGGCCCCTGACCCCGCACCCTGCTGTCCCCCCCCCCCCTGAACCCCAAATCTTCTTGTTCTTCTCTCTGGCCCCCCCACCTCTGGAAGTTTTTTCTTCTTCTTGGGGAAGGTAATAACTGTTGCACAGAATCCAAGCGTGGCGTCTATTGTGGCGCGTACAAAGCTAACAGGAGGTTATAGCCGTTAGCCACAGAGACTGAAGCTGTTTGTGTTGGTCGGGCTCGTGGGGGTCCCTCCGCAGGGTCACTGCGGTCCGACCATTCATAAGTTGGTGCTGATTATGGATTGTTGCTCTTTTCCTTGTTGTTTCTCAAACTGTGGTTCCCTCTCTCTCCTCTACATAAAGTCACTTTACTACTCTACCCTACTTTACCCTACCCTACCCTACTCTTCGCTACCCTACCCTACCCTACCCTACCCTTATCCTACTCTACGCAACCCTACCCTACTCTACCCTACTCTACTCTACGCAGCCCTACCCTACCCTACTCTACCCTACTCTACTCTAACCTACTCTACTCTACCCTACTCTACCCTACTCTACCCTACCCTACTCTACCCTACTCTACTATACTCTGCTCTATTAGCATCTGGTACCGTATCCTAGCAACCCACCCACAACAACCCAATATCAAAGGAAATTCCTTGGTAACCATGGCTTCCAGCAGCAGTCTGGCCAATCCTTGTCAGTTAGAACACTTTAGTACCAGCTTGGCCTGGATAGAACCAGGACCAGGAGGGACTAAAGAAGGACCTTGGACTAGAATAGAGTAGAGACGAGTAGAGAACAGATAAATACAACTCTTTTAACATAGATTTGAAGAATGTCAGAGAAAGACCCTGTCTCACATTTTCAGGAAGATTGTTCCAAGTTTTTTCCGCATTAATCCCACTCTTGGCTGTCATCAAGTTTAAAGAGTGATTTCTACACACACACACACACACACACACACACATACACACACACACACACACATACATACACATACACGCACACACACACAGACACACACACACACAGATACACAGGCGCACACACAGAGAGACACACACACGCGCACACACACAGAGACACACACAGACACACACACACACGCATACACACACACACACACACAGACACACACTCACAGACACACACACACAGACACACACACTAACACACATTATAATTGCAGGACACTTTGAGGATCAGAGGGCCCGGTCAGCCCTGTCTTCATGCCTGTCACTCACACGGCGTTGCCACAGAGACGGTCATCACACGGCCGGCTCCGCGGAGGTCGCTACGTTTTGTCCCGGATCTAAAGCCGAGTGTCCAGTGATGTCAAGACACACACAATAAGAAAGGATCAAACACAACACACACAAAACACTGCTGCTCGACAACATGTGGCTTTCTTTTGCCTGGAGCAGTGACTTCTGTAATCTCATTGGAGAAAGAAATCTGTATAACATCTGTATGTTACATCTGTATGTAGCATCTGTATGTAACCTCTGTATATAACATCTGTATGTAACATCTGTATGTAGCATCTGTATGTAACCTCTGTATATAACATCTGTATGTAGCAGCTGTATGTAGCACCTGTATATAACATCTGTATGTAGTATCTGTATGTAGCATCTGTATATAACATCTGTATGTAGCATCTGTATGTAGCATCTGTATCACACACATCCAAAGCAAAAATTACTCCCAAATACTTGAATTGTACCACCTCTAATTGCTCTCCGTTGACCAGAGCAGATGCCTCTTCACTGCCCCCTGGCTGACGGGAGGAGAACATGCAGTTTGTGTAGGTGTAGGGTTGGGGTGATGCTGCAGCGGGAGGAGATCATGTAGTTTGTGTAGGTGTAGGGCCAGTGTTAGCCTGTAGTGGGAGGAGAACATGCAGTTTGTGTAAGTGTAGGGCCAGGGTTAGCCTGTAGCGGGAGGAGAACATGCAGTTTGTGTAGGTGTAGGGTTGGGGTGATGCTGTAGCGGGAGGAGAACATGCAGTTTGTGTAGGTGTAGGGTTGGGGTGATGCTGTAGCGGGAGGAGAACATGCAGTTTGTGTAGATGTAGGGTTGGGGTGATGCTGCAGCGGGAGGAGAACATGCAGTTTGTGTAGGTGTAGGGCCAGAGTTAGCCTGTAGTGGGAGGAGAACATGCAGTTTGTGTAGGTGTAGGGCCAGAGTTAGCCTGTAGTGGGAGGAGAACATGCAGTTTGTGTAGGTGTAGGGCCAGGGTTAGCCTGTAGTGGGAGGAGAACATGCAGTTTGTGTAAGAGAAGACGGGAGTTTTGGAGCCATGGTAGTAGATAGTATAGACGGCAATATTGAGCAAGTGGTGAAAAGGTGGTACTGCACCCTAAAACTCCCCAGAAAAGAGACGGCGCTCTTGAGCAAGTGGTGAAAAAGTGTTACTGCACTTTTTTTTCAAAGAGTTTTAATGAGTTAGCTTCTGTTGACCCTGTGTGTGTGTGATAAAGTAAATGCTTCACAGTTGTCTAAAGTGATTTATGATCATAGCACATGTTTATTCTAAAACAAACAGTTAGTAAAGACAGGTCAATAAACTAATTAATCTACAGGTCCTCCCTGTTAACGACACTTAGGTGTAATGTGTGTGATAGCCTTATCATGATGACGGTTTGGAGGGAGTACTAACAACAAATCAGAATGGGCCTGCCTGTGTTTCTCTGCTCCGCTCACTTCCCGGCCTCTGTGTTCTTCTGCAGTCCCTCCTGAGCAGCAGGCGGAGTCATGAGCCCAGAGGAGACGACGCTGATGAAGTGATGGGTCTGGGCCATGGATGTACTAAATTAACTGGATAGGGTATTACTAGCTTGTAGCTGAAGAACTCATGTGCTCAGGGGATTCTCGCGGTACTGCAGACTGAACCAGACTAAATTCACGTGGGCTACCCAGAAATTTTCCCCATAGAACTCAATGCATATTAAAACAGCTCAACCTCAGCTGACAGAGAACCTACAGCTTTAATAAAGATCGGATTTTGTGGGGATTTTAGTGTCCCTTGTCATCCTGAACTTTTTTTCTTCTTAAATCCTTCGGTTTTGTTTAAATCCGCACTTTAGTGCCACAAACTCTGCTCGTCTGGCTCTCGCTCTAACTCCCGCTCTGATGAACTGCTCTGATTGGTCAGAGCGCGGCCGAGCCCCTCTGTGCACGTGCGTGAGACCCGGTGTGAGACCCACACACGCGTGTTTGGCGCAACGCATTATGGGAGATCATCCACTGCGCAGAACCGGGAGGACCAGACGATGCCCAAATACAGGCGAGTTTCCCATAGATCTTTGCGAGTTTCAGGCAACTTCCGCTAATCCTTCAGCCCCCATGCCGTCACAAAGCGCCACTGAGCACAACCATTCATTTGAATAGGGCGCCATCTTGGATCGCCGGGGCTTGGTCTGGGCGTGGTCATGTGCCGCTGCGATGGGGGCGTGTCTATGATCTTAGGCCCCGCCCCCCTTAACTCCTCACTCACAGCACATGGAAACAGCACTTAAGCACATTTATGTTCAGGGACCGGTCGCAGCAGGTTCTGGGGACAGAGTATCGCGATGATTCTTCCAGACCTCCTCAGAGACCGGCCTGAGCTGCACTCTGCAAAAAGTGATCAAAATAAGTTAAAAATGGCCCAAAATTGGCAAAATGACTCTGAAGAAAAGATCTGCTGATGGGACAGAGCAAAATTATCTTGTTTTAAAATCAAACAGGAAATGTCTGGTTTGGAATGAGTAAATAAAGCAACTGTTTGTGAAATAAGTTAAATGTTTCCTTCCCCTTAATCCATGTCTGGGTTGGGGGTGGCAGTCAGAGCTGTACCCAGTCCACAGGGGGCTGCTCTGTCATAGCTGAGGGGGTCAAGAGTCTTGCCCAAGGACACAACAACAGCAGAGATCAGTGGGAGTCAGTCTCGTGATGGGTTTGAACCCACAACCTTCTCTCTACTCTACTCTACTCTACACTACACTACTCTAGACCACTCTGCTCTACTCTACTCTACACTGCTATACTCTACACTACACTACTCTACTCTACACTGCTATACTCTACACTACACTACTCTACTCTACTCTACACTACTCTACTCTACTCTACACTGCTCTACTCTACTCTACACTGCTCTACACTACTCTACACTGCTCTACTCTACTCTACTCTACACTACTCTACTCTACTCTTCTCTACTCTACACTACACTACTCTACTCTACTCTACTCTACTCTACTCTACACTACTCAACTCTACTCAGCTCTACTCTACTCTACTCTACACTGCTCTACTCTACTCTACACTACTCTGCTCTATTCTACACCACTCTACTCTACTCTACTCTACTCTACTCTACGCTACTCTACACCACTCTACTCTACTCTACTCTACTCTACTCTACACCACTCTACACTACTCTACTCTACACCACTCTACTCTACTCTACACTACTCTACTCTACTCTACTCTACTCTACTCTACTCTACACCACTCTACTCTACTCTACACCACTCTACACTACTCTACACTACTCTACACTACTCTACTCTACACTGCTCTACTCTACTCTACACCACTCTACACTACTCTACACTACTCTACACTACTCTACTCTACCCTACTCTAGTATACTCTACTCTACCCTACCCTGCTCTACTCTACTCTACCCTACTCTACTCTACTCTACCCTACTCTACTCTACCCTACCCTGCTCTACACTACTCTACTCTACTCTACACCACTCTACACTACTGTACTCTACTCTACGCTACTCTACTCTACTCTACTCTACACTACTCTACTCTACACTACTCTACTCTACACCACTCTACTCTACTCTACACTACTCTACACTACTCTACTCTACACTACTCTACTCTACTCTACTCTACTCTACTCTACTCTACTCTACTCTACTCTACTCTACTCTACACCACTCTACTCTACTCTACACTACTCTGCTCTACTCTACTCCTCCCTCCCCCTCTCCCTCCCTCTCCTCCCTCCCCCTCTCTCCCTCCCTCTCTCTCCCTCTCCTCCTTCCCCCTCTCTCCCTCTCTCCCTCCCTCTCTCTCTCTCCCTCTCCCTCTCCTCCCTCCCCCTCTCTCCCTCTCTCCCTCCCTCCCCTCCCTCCCTCTCTCTCCCTCTCCTATAATCTTCCTGGCGGATGATGGATGGTAGTGTCAGCTCATCTTCATTATAATGCACACATCTATCCTCCTCTTCCTCTGCTTCTCTCTGCGCTCCAGGAAAAGCCAGAGATCCACCCGGAGCCACAAAGACGAGTAAAACCCCATCCATGCTTTTTGGGGAGAGAGTCTGCTGCTGTAGGTGTGCTCTCTCGCTGCACATCCATCACCGACCGATGAAGACGCTGGTGCTCTGAATGATAAACGCGCTTCAGAGTCCTCGCTAGCTCACTCTCTGGTATTATGCTAGCTCTGAATCATTAATGAGCAGAACCGTTAGCTTTACGCACTACATTCAGGGCAACGAGCAGTCGACACGCCGCCATCATGGGGTCGTGTCCCATAGTTCTGTCTCAGGAACAATCACCACTTTGTTCCTTGAGATTTACAGTTTGAGTTTTGGTCAAAGTCACTGATTAAACAAAACAACTGCAAACTCACATGTGGCCTTTCTGAGTGGAGTTTGCATGTTCTCCCCGTGTCTGCACATGTTTCCTCCAGGTGCTCCGGTTTCACCTACCACTAAAAACATGTACAAAAGGTTAAATCCTCCAGCTCTGGTCTGGACCAGTGTAAAACTATGAATCCTCTCTGCTTTGGTCTGGACCAGTGTAAAACCATGAATCCTCTCTGCTCTGGTCCGGACCAGTGTAAAACCATGAATCCTCTCTGCTCTGGTCTGGACCAGTGTAAAACCATGAATCCTCTCTGCTCTGGTCTGGACCAGTGTAAAACCATGAATCCTCTCTGCTCTGGTCTGGACCAGTGTAAAACCATGAATCCTATCTGCCCTGGTCTGGACCAGTGTAGAACCATGAATCCTCTCTGCTCTGGTCTGGACCAGTGTAGAACCATGAATCCTCTCTGCTCTGGTCCGGACCAGTGTAAAACCATGAATCCTCTCTGCTCTGGTCTGGACCAGTGTAAAACCATGAATCCTCTCTGCTCTGGACACCAGCAACACAAAGTCCACCATCACAGACACACACCAACAACACAAAGTCCACCACCACAGACACACACCAGCAACACAAAGTCCACCATAACAGACACACACCAGCAACACAAAGTCCACCATCACAGACACACACCAGCAACACAAAGTCCACCATCACAGACACACACCAGCAACACAAAGTCCACCACCACAGACACACACCAGCAACACAAAGTCCACCACCACAGAAACACACCAGCAACACAAAGTCCACCATCACAGACACACACCAGCAACACAAAGTCCACCATCACAGACACACACCAGCAACACAAAGTCCACCACCACAGACACACACCAGCAACACAAAGTCCACCACCACAGAAACACACCAGCAACACAAAGTCCACCATCACAGACACACACCATTAACACAAAGTCCACCATCACAGACACACACCAGCAACACAAAGTCCACCATCACAGACACACACCAGCAACACAAAGTCCACCACCACAGAAACACACCAGCAACACAAAGTCCACCATCACAGACACACACCAGCAACATTTGCAGAAGGTGAAGAGAGCCAGGTACCATGAAGGGGCCACTCTGCTCTTGGAGCCGTTAGTAAACCAGTCCTCACAGCATTGTACGAAGTTTTTACCTGATCGCAGAGAAAGCCACACCCCACTGGTGAAACACTCGTGACACCAGCTGCGTTAAATATGGCAAATCTCGGAACATCGACCGAAAGTAAATTATCCCAAAGCGAAAGCGACAGAAGAGAAGACCTGACTAAAGACATTTTGGCTCAAGTAGTCATGGATCTGACTCCGAGCCTTCATCTCGACGAGACACAGACGTTTCTAATCTGAGTTTGGTGTTTTCCAGGTGTTGGTGCGCGGAGAAAAGCCGATGCACCGCACATGGTTGTGACGCATCTGCACAGGCTTGAGCCGCTGTCAGTGAGCTGTGTCAGTGAGCTGCTGTCAGTGAGCTGTGTCAGTGAGCTGTGTCAGTGAGCTGTCAGTGAGCTGTGTCAGTGAACTGTGTCAGTGAACTGTCAGTGAGCTGTGTCAGTGAGCTGTGTCAGTGAGCTGTCAGTGAGCTGTGTCAGTGAGCTGTGTCAGTGAGCTGTCAGTGAGCTGTGTCAGTGAACTGTCAGTGAGCTGTGTCAGTGAGCTGTGTCAGTGAGCTGTCAGTGAGCTGTGTCAGTGAACTGTCAGTGAGCTGTGTCAGTGAGCTGTGTCAGTGAGCTGTCAGTGAGCTGTGTCAGTGAACTGTCAGTGAGCTGTGTCAGTGAGCTGTGTCAGTGAGCTGTGTCAGTGAGCTGTCAGTGAGCTGTGTCAGTGAACTGTCAGTGAGCTGTCAGTGAGCTGTGTCAGTGAGCTGTCAGTGAGCTGTCAGTGAGCTGTGTCAGTGAGCTGTGTCAGTGAGCTGTCAGTGAGCTGTCAGTGAGCTGTGTCAGTGAGCTGTGTCAGTGAGCTGTCAGTGAGCTGTCAGTGAGCTGTGTCAGTGAGCTTTGTAAAGACATGGGTTCTTCTGAGTCAGTCTAAAGTTCGGGGTTATCCCGGGGCTGGGGCTGAGTCGTGTTTTGTCCATGTGTGGAATCAGCACCAACACTGTCATGCAGATGTCTTCAAAAATCCTGAGTTCATTCTGATTTTAGCAAACATGGCTGATATATTCGCCGCTCTCGATCATCTCAATCCACACATGCAGCGAGTCGACACCAGAGAAGCAGAAGAACACTTGGGGACTTGTGGAAGCGACGAACAGAGAACAATAACGTTGCAAACTTCCTCCTTCTGGACGACTGTTTAAGTAAGACATGTCTGTATCCATGGAACTGAAGCAAACAATTGCCACGCACTTAGCACTTATCACTTAAGCACTTGAGCTTAAGTGATGAGCTCGCAAAGTGTCTTGACGTATATTTCCCTACAAGAGTCATATCCATCTTTCCTGTGGAGACCGCTGATGTCAGGGATGAAAACTTTGACTCTTCAGCAGAGCCAGGTTCAACTGCAACTTCTCAGAACAAGTATCCAGTTATTACTAAGAAAGCGGCGAATATATCAGCCTTTTTCAAACTGCTCTGACCTGGAGAAAACCATCCACACTTTTATCAGTTCTAGAATTAATTATTGTAATGCCCTTTATTTTGGAGTTTCCCAGTCCTGTCTTAATCGTCTTCAGTTAGTGCAAAATTCTGCAGCTCGCTTTTTAACAAACACCCCCAGACGTGAACACATCACACCAGTCATTTTTTCTTTACATTGGCTCCAGTTTCTTTTAGAGTTGATTTTAAAATTCTTCTCTTTGTTTTTAAAGCCCTCAATGGTCTCGCCCTACCTGTCCGAACTTCTAACAGTCCGTGACTCGGGCAGATTATTGAGGTCATCAGATCAGCTCGTACTGGAAGTGCCCAGGACTCGGTCCAAACATTGGGGTGATTGAGCCTTTTCAGTTCTGGAACAAACCTCTGGAACAAGCTGCCCCCTGATCTGCGCACCATCACTGACTTTTTAAATCCCATATTTATTCAAACTGGCTTTTAATACTCAGTAGCACAGCGACACTTTAGTTTCTCATGGTTTAAAATGACTGTTTTATTATTTGCTTATATGAATGTCTTTAACAGATTTTATGTGATTTTATTGTAAAGCACTTTGGTCGCCTTGTGTGTTGTAAAGGGCTCTATAAATAAAATTTGATTGATTGAGAGCCCTTGATTTTTTAATACAATTTCTCAAATTCTTTGCGAGCCGTCCTTTTCGAGGATGCTGGACATAAAAACTGAAAAAAAGGAACAGACTTTGGTGTGAAAATGACATGAGAGTGACACAAGGTGAAGCCTCTGCTGGTCTCGGCTGGTCTCGGCTGGTCTCTGCTGGTCTCGGCTGGTCTCTGCTGGTCTCTGCTGGTCTCTGCTGGTTTCTGCTGGTTTCTGCTGGTCTCGGCTGGTCTCGGCTGGTCTCTGCTGGTCTCTGCTGGTCTCGGCTGGTCTCTGCTGGTCTCTGCTGGTCTCAGCTGCTGGTGCTGCGACCAGCAGAGGTCACACTGCTTCACAGGTACAGTGTGTCATTTGTTTTTCTTTGTGTTGGTTTTGTTTTTGAACACGATGTTCATGCACCGCTCTGTTTGTGTCTAATAAAAACATATTTATGTCTTGGATTTGAAAATGTTTTATTTCACAAAAGAGGTTCCTCCAGCACGGTTCAGATCCACTGATCTGAGTTATTACAGGTCATCTTGTGTTTGAACTGTGCTATACAAATAAACTTGCCTAAGATTGTTTTTTTTCTCTGCAAAACCCAAGTTCCGATCTCCTCTTCAGTCTCACTTTGACCTCTGCCACATCCTCTGGAGCGGAACACGTTACGTAACAGTCATCACCGTGACACACAAACAGCGGGTCTCCCACACGTTCCACTCCATCTGCTTTACGCGTGTATTCAGACAGGTGACGTAGACGTACGTGCGTAAACTAGAGGCGTCGCGTTCAAAGACACTGCGCTTACAACGCCACACTTTGATCACGTGAACAAAACCCACCCCATAAAAAAACTTAAAAACGGAGGCAAAGGCGAGTCCTGCATGCGCGCTCCCGACCGCCATTACATTACATTACACTACATTACGACAGTGGGCTGGACGTGTGCGTGTGCGTGAGGTAGGAGGAGGATGCGAGGAGGAGGAGGAGAGAAACCTCACAGACACAAGAGGCACGCTCAGACTCTCTCTCTCTCTCTCTCTCCTCTCACACAATCCACTTATTGACAATAACCACAGAGGGACGGAAGAGAAGGCGAGACGCGTCACGCTAGGAGGACCAGTTGAAAACCAGGAGGACCAGTTAAAACCAGGAGGACCAGCTGAAGCCAGGAGGACCAGCTGAAGCCAGGAGGACCAGCTGAAACCGAACCTTCTCCAGTCGCGCCGTGCGTAAAGACGTCTCTGTGCCAACGTCTCCGAGCCAAACCAGGACGACTGTCACTCTGGCTGGTTGAACTCACTCATCACATGGTCTCTCTCTGCGTGGTGAGGAGAGGTGTCGTAATACCAGCAACTGAGAAGCAAAGAAGGAAGGAAGCAAGATCTATTTTTCTCTGCGTTCTCTCCCTTTCTCTCCGCTGCAGCTGTGGACCTCAGACTTTTACCGTGTGAGCGTTTGGTGCCGTTGTGTGTCCAAGTCCAAACACACACCATCGGAGCTACTTAACTGGAGAAGCCCCTTTACTTTCTTCTCTGCGTATTACTCTGTTGTTATTCACGCACACACAGAGAGAAAGAGAGAGATCACGCACGCGTTCCTCTCCTCTCTCTCGCTCTCTGCTGGTTTTGCTTCTGCCCAGACATACAAAGCAGGAGGCGCTGGGTGAAAAAGGGAAGGCTAAAAATAGCTCTCGCAGGATTCTCGAAAAACTATAACACAAGTGGTGCATCGGCGCGGATTGTGATCTCACAGCGGCTCCGGAATAATCACCGTTACGTTTCCAACCGTGAGAAGTTGATCGCCTCTTCGTTAGACGCAGTCCCGGAGCCGCCGCGTCCTCTGCATGGATTATTATTACATGATGGAAGTAGCAGCTCAGAGACGGGGTAGTGCTTCTCCCTTATGCACGGACTGACACGGATATTATCCACCGGACCGGAGATTTGGATTAACGTTTTCTCGCCTTTTTTCTGACTGAGGATCGCTGAGAGAGACCCATCCCAGTCCTGTGCCTCCTCCTCCCGCAGCCTCAGAGACCGAGCGTGCCTGGATCTTTCTCTGCGGTGGTCTGAGCTCCCCCCCCCTGAGCTTCCCCCCCCCCTCTCAGGTGGTGATCTCCGAGGACCGGGACCGGGACCACGACATGCCACACGCCGCGGGGGAGGACAAGGCAGGAGCAGAATGACTATGACGGCGAACTGGGAGGCGAACGGGGCAAGCCTAGAGGACTGCCACTCCAACATCTTCTCTCTGGTAACACACACACACACACACACACACACACACACACACACACACACACACACACACACACACACACACACACACACACACACACACACACACGCACACACACACACACACACACACAGACACACACAAACACACACACGCACACACACACTCTCACACGCACTCTGGTTGACATTGACCAATCTGAGTTTCTTAACCGAATCCCGCTCGTAACTGGGTCTTTCTCAGTGGAGTTTGCATGTTCTCCCCATGTCCGCGTAGGTGTCCTCCAGGTGCTCCGGTTTCTCCCACCTCTAGAACCTTGTCCATAGGTCTGACATGTGCCTCCTGTAGACTCCAGCCCCATCTCTGTGTGCTGAGAGACAGATGAAGCGACAGTAAAGGACTTTGTGGCTCTGGGCTGTGAAAGGCGCTACGTAAATAAATATGACTTATACAGAGGATTTTTTAGCCTATTTCCTGATAATCACATCGACTTCCTCTTTTTGAAGCCATTTCACTAGAACTCCAGTCACACTCTCTGCTTCCTAAAAATAAGACTAACAAAGGATTTCTTTATCTCAGAGCGTCGTGGCCATAGTGAGACAAGGCAAGTTTATCTGTATAGCACAGGGCACAGGGCAGAGCAAACAAGATGGAAGACACGGAACAAGAGTTAGAATCATCAATGAGCACGATAAAAAACTGTTTTATACAAACTGGATTAGAACATTGTCAGAGAAGAAGCCTGTCTCACATTTTCAGGAAGACTGTTCCAGATTTTAGCATGAATCTGAAATGCTGCCTCTACATGTTTAGTCCTGACTCTGGGACCAGCAGGAGGCCAGTCCCTGTGCTCCTCAGAGTCCCAGCAGGAGGCCAGTCCCTGTGCTCCTCAGAGTCCCAGCAGGAGTTCGGTCCCTGTGCTCCTCAGAATCCCATCAGGAGGCCAGTCCCTGTGCTCTTCAGAGTCCCAGCAGGAGGCCGGTCCCTGTGCTCCTCAGAGTCCCAGCAGGAGTCCGGTCCCTGTGCTCCTCAGAGTCCCAGCAGGAGGCCGGTCCCTGTGCTCCTCAGAGTCCCAGCAGGAGGCCGGTCCCTGTGCTCCTCAGAGTCCCAGCAGGAGGCCGGTCCCTGTGCTCCTCAGAGTCCCAGCAGGAGGCCAGACCCTGTCCTCCTCAGAGTCCCAGCAGGAGGCCGGTCCCTGTGCTCCTCAGAGTCCCAGCAGGAGGCCAGTCCTGCCCGGACTGTCGGACGGTGGGACTTTATGGGGACGTGGATCACTGCTCTGTGTCAGATACTCACATCTCTGCAATCATACAACTGTCTCCTGCGCCCAGACCCCGGCAAGTGGGAGAAGCGGCTCTACTGAGAGAGAGAGAGAGAGAGAGAGAGAGAGAGAGAGAGAGAGAGAGAGAGAGAGAGAGAGAGAGAGAGAGAGAGAGAGAGAGAGAGAGAGAAGAGCGCCCTCAGTTCTCACCATAGACATTCATCCGTAAAGTCAACTCAATTTAATGTATTTTGTAAAGCCTTAAATCACAACAGTATTAATCACGGAGGACTTTCCTAAGTTGACAATTCAGCAATACCAGTGTGTGTGTGTGTAAAACCTCTTTACAGAATATTGGTCCAAAAGTGGGTTTTGGTCCAAAAGTGGTTCTTGGTCCAGAAGTGGGTCTCGGCCCAAAAGTGGTTCTTGGTCCAAAAGTGGTTCTTGGTCCAAAAGTGGCTCTTGGTCCAAAAGTGGTTCTTGGTCCAAAAGTGGGTCTCGGTCCAAAAGTGGTTCTTGGTCCAAAGGTGGTTCTTGGTCCAAAGGTGGTTCTTGGTCCAAAGGTGGTTCTTGTTCCAAAATTGGTTCTTGGTCCAAAAGTGGTTCTCGGTTCAAAAGTGGTTCTTGGTCCAAAAGTGGTTCTCGGTCCAAAAGTGGGTCTCGGTCCAAAACTGGTTCTTGATCCAAAGGTGGTTCTTGTTCCAAAATTGGGTCTCGGTCCAAAAGTGATTCTTGGTCCCAAAGTGGTTCTCGGTCCAAAAGTGGTTCTTGGTCCAAAAGTGGTTCTCGGTCCAAAAGTGGGTCTCGGTCCAAAAGTGGTTCTTGGTCCAAAAGTGGTTCTTGGTCCAAAAGTGGCTCTTGATCCAAAAGTGGTTCTTGGTCCAAAAGTGGTTCTTGGTCCAAAAGTGGTTCTTGGTCTAAAAGTGGCTCTTGGTCCAAAAGTGGCTCTTGGTCCAAAAGTGGCTCTTGGTCCAAAAGTGGTTCTTGGTCCTAAAGTGGCTCCTGGTCCTCTTGGTTCCAGATACTGTCTGAGGGTAGTGTATGTTTTTGGACCAGTCTAGTTTAGTCGCTGTGGACTTTTGAATGCACTCGTTAAATGAATGGGTGAATGGTACCATCATTAAGTTCTTGCTGGTGGAACCATCATGAAGGCCTTGCTGGTGTCTCCCTGACAGAGTGTAGCTGTAGTGAAGTGTCCTCAGAGCAGGTCTAATGCCGTCATCAGAGGAGCTCTTAGTCCCAGATCTTTGTGTTTTTACCATGAGCAGAGTCTGGAGGAGAAAGTGCCCAGAGAAGAGACAGGCCTGATTTATGGTGCGTGAGAACCATGTGGGACGCAGCAGGTATCAGGGCCTCTTCATGTAGACTTTGTGTGTGTTTTGTGTTGTTGTTGTTGTTATGTTGTTGTGAGCGGGCCTTGTGGCTTGGACTAAAGTTTGTTTCCAACTCGCTCTGGCTCCTTTCGACTCACAGGGAAAGTAGCAGTAGTAGTAGTAGTAGTAGTAGCAGTAGTAGTAGTAGTAGCAGTAGTAGTAGTAGTAGTAGCAGTAGTAGTAAGTAATAGGCTGTAAAGTGCCAAATTGTGGTCTCTCTTCTTATTAAACTGCTTTATTAAGAAGTTTAGTGCTAAATAATCCCAGACCGAAAGCGGTTTGGGCTGAAATAGGGACTTATGGAGATGATTATTGTTGTTATTCTGCTGAACCCCTTTTACAACAGTCAGGCACATTCTACAGTTTCTCTTTTAAACAACAATGGAAACACGTAGAACAAACTCAGACTTCTATAATCAGAGTTATTAAACATAATCCAATCCATCTGTTCTGTCCTTGATGATACTGTATCTAAGAACTCCTTTGCCCGAGACACACCTCCTCTGAGTTTCTGTCTCTGCCTCAGATCAGTTCCTCTGATCTACACATTCTTCAGAATCAAACTGATCTAAAACAGTGATTTGTAAATCCAGAAACGAGCCTAAAGATGGACCTGGCATTGGTTAATGAGGGTTGACCGTTGCTAAGATAAACAGCTTCCTTAGCAACCATTGTATACATCTGGAAGCTAACGCCGTCTGAACAAATGTAACACTTGAGCTAACCTTGGGTCAAAATGACACACAAAAGATGAACACAACAGATTAACACAACCGATGAACACAACAGACGAACACAACAGATGAACACGACAGATGAACACAACAGATGAACACGACAGACGAACACAACAGACGAATACAACAGACGAACACAACAGACGAACACAACAGACGAACACAACAGACTAACACAACAGACGAACACAACAGATGAACACAACAGATAAACACAACAGATGAACATGAACACAACAGACGAACACAACAGATGAACACAACAGACGAACACAACAGACTAACACAACAGATGAACACAACAGATGAACACAACAGATGGACATGAACACAACAGATGAACACAACAGATGAACATGAACACAACAGATGCACACAACAGATGAACACGACAGATGAACATGAACACAACAGATGAACACAACAGATGAACACGACAGATGAACATGAACACAACAGATGAACGCGACAGATGAACACAACAGATGAACATGAACACAACAGATGAACACAACAGATGAACACGACAGATGAACACAACAGATGAACACAACAGATGAACACGACAGATGAACACAACAGATGAAGAAAATGTGATAAAAATACCTGCATTAGGGTCGGAACAGGTCTAAATGACTCAGGGCCGGTCAAGGGAGAAAATATCTGTGTGTGTGTGTGTGTATGTAACGTATGTGTGTGTGTATGTGTATGTACAGTATGTGTGTGTATGTATGTACTCTATGTGTTTGAGTGTGTGTACAGTGCCTTGCGAAAGTATTCGGCCCCCTTGAACCTTTCAACATTTTGCCACATTTCAGTCTTCAAACATAAAGATATAAAATTTTAATTTTTTGTCATGAATCAACAACAAGTGGGACACAATCGTGAAGTGGAACAAAATTTATTGGATAATTTAAACTTTTTTAACAAATAAAAAGTTGAAAAGTGGGGCGTGCAATATTATTCGGCCCCTTTACTTTCAGTGCAGCAAACTCAGTCCAGAAGTTCAGTGAGGATCTTTGAATGATCCAATGTTGTCCTAAATGACTGATGATGATAAATAGAATGCACCTGTGTGTAATCAAGTCTCCGTATAAATGCACCTGCTCTTTGATAGTCTCAGGGTTCTGTTTAAAGCGCAGAGAGAACCATGAAGACAAAGGAACACACCAGGCAGGTCCGAGATACTGTTGTGGAGAAGTTTAAAGCCGGATTTGGATACAAAAAGATTTCCCAAGCTTTAAACATCTCAAGGAGCACTGTGCAAGCAATTATATTGAAATGGAAGGAGCATCAGACCACTGCAAATCTACCAAGACCCGGCCGTCCCTCCAAACTTTCATCTCAAACAAGGAGAAGACTGATCAGAGATGCAGACAAGAGGCCCATGATCACTCTGGATGAACTGCAGATAACTACAGCTGAAGTGGGAGAGTCTGTCCATAGGACAACAATCAGTCGTGCACTGCACAAATCTGGCCTTTATGGAAGAGTGGCCATTTCTCAAAGATATCCAATAAAAGTCTCTTAAAGTTTGCCACAAGCCACCTGGGAGACACACCAAACATGTGGAAGAAGGTGCTCTGGTCAGATGAAACCAAAATCTAACTTTTTGGCCACAATGCAAAACGATATGTTTGGCGT